TTAATGCTGGATTCATATCTTGTTGGTCAGAACTTTATTATCAATACAAAGATGAATTGGTGCAATGTCTTATTTCTGCTTTGAGATCACCAAACATTCCGCCTGAAATTGTTTCGACGATACTTAATTTAGCTGAGTTTATGGAACATTATGATAAATCTCTTCCCATTGATATTCCAATGTTAGGCTCTTATGCCGAAAATTGCCACGCTTATGCAAAAGCACTCCATTACAAAGAACTTCAATTTCTCGCTGAACCATCAACTGAAACAATAGAAAAATTAATCCAAATTAACAATCAATTACAATTACCAGACGCGGCTATCGGTATTTTAACGCATGCTCAACAAAATCCAAGCCTTCAAGGTCTACAATTAAAAGAAAACTGGTATGAAAAGTTAAACCGATGGGAGGATGCTTTAGCAGCCTACGAGAGAAAAAGAATCGAAGACCCTAATGATTTTGAGGCAACTATGGGCGTTATGCGATGTATGAATGCCCTTGGTGATTGGGAGGGTCTTTCTTCGTTAGCTCAAGAAAAATGGGCTGAGGCTTCTGCGCCAATGAAAAAACAGATCGCTGGATTAGCTGCTGCGGGTGCATGGGCTTTAGGACAATGGGGATTAATGGATGACTATATTTCCACGATGAAACAAGAATCTCCAGATCGCACTTTTTTCCAAGCAATCTTATCTTTGCACAAGAATCAATATGCAGATGCAGTACGACATATCGATAAAACTAGAGATTTGTTAGATACAGAATTAACAGCATTGGTTGGGGAGAGTTATAATCGTGCATACAATGTTGTAGTTCGTGTCCAGATGCTTGCTGAATTGGAAGAAATTATCACATACAAACAATTTGCTGATCAGCCAGATAGACAAGCAACTATACGAAAAACATGGATGACGCGTTTGAAAGGATGCCAACGCAATGTAGAAGTATGGCAAAGGATCCTCAAAGTCCGCACTTTAGTGATCAGTCCGAAAGAAAACATGGAAATGTGGATAAAGTTTGCAAATCTATGTCGAAAAAGTAATCGTCTTGAACTAGCAGAAAAAACTTTAAAACAGTTGCTAGTAGGCGACCAGAAAATAGCTACTGTTCATCCGTCCATACTTGCACGAGCTGCACCACAAGTTGTGTACGCTCATCTAAAATGGATGTGGGAAAGCGGAAATCGTGTTGATGCATTATCTCATCTTCGGGAATTCACGGGACGAATGTCGAGTGAAATGCGTCTAGGAAATAATTCCTTGCTTGCTCGATGTTGTTTAAAGAAAGGCGAGTGGCAGATGTATTTGCAAGAGGATTGGAGTGAGGTATGGAAAATCATTTATTTTCTTTGTTCAGATTGAAATATTTTTACTTCAATTTTTTTCTTCATTTAGGATACAATTCCTGATATACTGCAATCATATTTGCTTGCTACTCAATACGACAAAGATTGGTACAAGGCCTGGCACGCATGGGCTTTGGCCAATTTCGAAGTAGTATCACACTTCGAAAAACTTCACAATTCAGAAAATTCAATAGAAGACTTGAACAACGTTGAGATTCCGGACGAAGCGATGACAGCAATGCATCAAGAGGCTTTACGATATGTAGTACCTTCTGTGCAAGGCAAGTTATTCAATTTTCGAAATTGTTTTTGTCTATTATTTTTAGTGCTTATAATATTTACGCATACACAAACGATAATTAGGATTCTTCCAATCAATTGCTCTATCTCGTGGCAATTGTCTACAGGATACTTTACGACTTCTCACATTATGGTTCAAATATGGGTATCAACCCGAAGTTAGTGCTGCTCTAAATGAAGGCTTCAATAGTGTGAATATTGACACGTGGCTTGAGGTTATACCACAAGTAAATTATCTTTATTTTCTTAATCATTCTTATTCTATGAAATTCAAACATATTTCTTACGGGCATTGAATTCTTAGTTGATAGCACGTATACATGCCCAAAATCCTAATGTACGAAAATTAATCCATCAACTTTTGGCGGAAGTGGGTAAAGAACACCCCCAAGCACTGATATACCCACTCACTGTCGCTTCAAAGTCTCAGAGTCATCATCGACAAAAGGCAGCAGAAACAGTGATGGATAAATTGCGTGCACATAGTGCTGTCCTTGTAGAACAAGTAAGTTCCGCATTTTTCTATGTTTTATCTTTTTTGTAATATTCAAATTCTTTCTATTTACTACATTACAGGCACTTCTTGTGAGCAAAGAACTCATTCGAGTTGCCATAATATGGCACGAAATCTGGGCGGAACAATTAGAAGAAGCATCAAGGTTATACTATGTTGAACGAAATTATGATGCAATGTTCGTAATATTAGACGAGTTGCAAGAACGACTAGATCGTGGTCCTGAAACTCTACGCGAAGTCGCTTTCGTTCAAGCATACGGGAGGGAACTTCAAGAAGCCGGTGTATGGTGTCGAAAATATAAACAAACACTTGAACTTCCCTTCCTCACGCAAGCGTGGCAATTATATTATGATATGTTTAAAAAGATCACGACGCAAGTTTCTACAATCACTACGTTGGAGTTGCAATATGTGTCTCCCAAGCTCTTGGCTGCACGAGATTTGGAGTTAGCGGTTCCAGGTGATTAATGAAATTGCATAATTTAATCAAAGAGTTTTCTATTAAATTTTTATTTATTACATTAATTTAATTTTTCAGGAACATATCGTAGTGGGGAACCAGTTGTAAAAATAAAGAGTTTTTTCCAAACTGTCAATATTATATCATCTAAACAACGTCCGAGAAAACTGCTTCTTAAAGGAAGTGATGGTCGTGACTATCAATTCCTGTTAAAAGGGCATGAAGATTTGCGTCAAGATGAACGTGTGATGCAATTATTTGGACTCGTAAATACATTATTATCAATCAATCCCGAGACATTCAAGAGACATCTAAACATACAACGTTACACTGTCACTCCGCTGACCCCCAATATTGGATTGCTCGGATGGGTTCCCAACTGTGATACTTTGCATTCTCTTATTAGAGATTATCGAGAGAGTAAGAAAATATTACTTAATATTGAACATCGACTCATGTTACAGGTAAATAATTCTTTTTCAATAAATAGACCGTGAAACTGAAGTTGCATGATTGCTAATTTGTGTCTTTACCTAGATGGCGCCTGATTATGACCAACTTTCCATAATGCAGAAGGTCGAAGTGTTCGAATATGCTTTGAATAACACGACTGGTCAAGATTTATACAAAGTATTATGGTTGAAAAGTAAAAATTCCGAAGCATGGCTAGAGCGAAGGACGAATTATACACGTTCTTTGGCGGTTATGTCCATGGTCGGCTATATACTAGGATTAGGCGACAGACATCCTTCTAATATCATGCTCGATCGGTTTACCGGGAAGATAGTTCATATTGATTTTGGCGATTGCTTTGAGGTTTGTCCTTATAATGAAATCATTTTCAATTAATTTATAATATTTGATACGACTGTTCTATGTGTAACAATAGGTTGCCATGACGCGTGAAAAATATCCGGAAAAAATCCCGTTCCGACTAACAAGAATGCTTGTAACTGCAATGGAAGTGAGCGGAATTGAAGGCAATTTCCGCACAACTTGTGAGGCAGTAATGAGTGTATTACGAAACAATAAAGAAAGTCTAATGGCCGTATTAGAAGCATTTGTTCATGATCCTCTGATTAACTGGAGAATCATGGCAGCGCCAAGTCCGCGATTAGGTATGTAATAAACAAAAAAATATAGATTCTTTACAATAGTTTTTAATGAAATCATTCTTGTATTTTCAGAAGGGGAAAACCTAGGAAACGCGTTATCAATAAATCGTCGAGCACGCGATATTATACATCGTATATCCAATAAATTAACTGGTTAGTAATCCTCCTATTTTACCAAACTTTTATTAGGATACAATTAATCTTCAATGTCTCTGTTTTATGATTCTTATCATTTAGGCAAGGACTTTAACGAAAACCAAACTCTTGATGTACCTTCGCAAGTCGATAAGTTGATACAACAGGCAATTTCGATCGAGAATCTGTGTCAATGTTACATAGGATGGTGTGCGTTCTGGTGAAAACGGTGGTGATGTTGTTCATATCTTGTATAGATTTTAATTCATACACATACACGTTATTTATTAATTGTAGAATAATATAATCATTTTAGAATTTTTGGTTAATTTAATGTATTATTAAATATTGGAGATTTCCATATAATAAATTCGTAATGTATTAAGCATGAACATCCTAAATAATTTCATTGTGAGGTGCATCAAAATTTAGATTTTCATTTGTTTTCCACTACGCGTCAAACACTAAAAAACAAATGGAACTTCTCATTGGCGAAGCCTACGAACAAGAACGTCAACGACGTATCGCCGAAAACAAGGCACTTTTATCGCGACTTAATATCCAGCATGGTTTTTTCGAATTGCCGCAACAAAAGAAACAAGCGAGAACGAAAAAGATAAAACTTGAAAACTCAGACGACGAGTACAAGCCTGCTCCCAGACGTCGAAGTACGCGTTTTTCGGTTCAAAAATCTCGCCTTGTTTCATTAACCGACTCTAGCAGCAAAGACAGCTCGGATAACGGTGGACAAAAGAACTATAGGTTGAGAAATCGAAAGAGGAACAGTGTTGGTGGTCTTGGTAAAAGAAACCCAAATCCCGGTAGGCGTATACAGGGGGGTAGAATTTACGATTCTGAACTTGGCACTACGTGTCATCAATGTCGGCAAAAAACCATCGAAGAAAAAATCCGATGCACAAATGAATTGGAAGAAGGTCAGATGTGTCGTGTGATGCTTGACGAAAGGTGCTTGATGGGAAGATATGGGGAAAATTTGGAGGAAGCTCGTAAAACCGGTGAATGGATATGTCCCAAATGTCGCGACATTTGTAACTGTTCATTCTGTCGTCGAAAGAAAGGATTGGCACCAACTGGCTTGCTTAAAAGCATTGCCTTGAGAAAAGGTTTTAAAAGTGTTCGACACTTTTTAGGTGATGGTTTAAATGATGATGACGACGACGACGACGACGACGACGACGATGATGATGATGATGATGATGATGATGATGATGATGATGATGATGATGATGATGATGATGATGATAATGACGATGATGATGACGATGATGATGACGATGATGATGATTATGAAACTGACCATAATATCAAAATTGAAAAAGACGATGTTGACTTTAATCCTTTTATCAAGAATGAGGATATCGAATCTGACACTTCTTTGGTACAAACAAACATCAAAAGGGAGAATCCTCAAAATTGTCGATTTCAAGAGATTCCATTGTTCGTTGAGACCAGTCAAGAACCTGTTATCGAAGAAGCAACTCTTGGACAGTCTGATCAGCTCGTCCCTTCTCGAGATGAAACGAGTGATTCCAACATAATTAATGATGATATCAAAGATGTGAAGACGTCCAAAGTCAGTAATTCATTCATCAAAAAAGGAGGAACGTCCAAAGTCACGAATTCGTTCACCAGAAAAGGAGGAACGTCCAAGGTCAGTAATTCATTCACCAGAAAGGGAAGAACTTCCAAAGTCAGTAATTCATTCATCAAAAAAAGAGGAACGTCCAAAGCCAAAAATAAAACCAAAACTAAAACTATGAGGGCAACTCACAATTATAAAAGTATCTTCGAACACGTTAATCCATTATTCGATTATGAAAACGATTCTGGGCTCAATCCGGACAGCACATCCGATGATGAAGTCTTTTCTTATGGTATAAAAAAAGAAGACACACCCGAGATCGTTAGCGAGAACTTCTCTAAATGTAAAAATTTCACTGGATTAAGACATCAAATGATTAAACAAGAAAATGAGGTCTCCCAAGTTATCAATCCATTATTTATTAGTTCCCAAGACATGAATCCATATATTAAAAATGAAGGTACATATCCATTCATTAAGGACGAAGATGTCGACTGGGATGGATTCCAAGATAACGTCTGTGTTTTGATCGATAACCGTAAATTCAACTCAAATGCTTATATCCTCAAATAATAATCCACTTCAACACTGGGTAACGAACAAATGATAACATGAAGTTGTTTTACGGGATAACCAAAATTTTTGGAGAAGGAAAAAATATTAATTCCTATAATTATTCATCACATGTTAATATGCATAGTCATTCTATGCGATAGAATTTAATTTCATAATAAAAGTATACATTTTATAATAATCATCATCATTTTTGAATAGGAAATTTTTCTTCAATTTAGTTTTATTCCTCCTAAAGAAAATTCGTAAATATTAAAACAAAAAAAAAATTACACGATTAAAAATTCAAAGAACTGAGGATTATTTTTTAAAGTCCTTCTTAATGAAGTTAGTAATGCTCATAAAATATAATGATGCAATGTATCTACTTTACTGTGAAAAGTGCATGGAAACTTGATAAACTTTAACGAGATGAAGATGGTTAAATCAAGGATGCATAGTTCATCAACCTTTGGCAAAATTTAAGTTCCTCACAAAAATATAATTACTATTCTTTAGACAAATTTTTGAGAATTGAAGATTTTAAAACTCTGAAAGAAAATAATATAAATCATTATGTATTCATATGCTTCTCCTGTTGTATAATAAGACAGCCTTGCACATATACATAAATGAATAACGATAACTTTGAGTTTTATTAATCTTCGGAAATTTGTAATTTTTTACAAAGTAAATTAAAAATTAATATTAATATTATATGATGTAAGTCTATTCACTCTATATTAATCCTATGTAAATAAATAAATATATAACATAGATAAAATTTTTCATAAATATATATATACACACAGAGAGAAGGAATAAATGAAGTGATAGTTGAATTAGATTAAGTTAGGTAAGCTTGGTACAGCAACATCTAGTGCTTGTTGAATGTCCAGTAACTGTTTGTAAAGAACAAACAAAAAGCTTAGTATTTCATATTTATAAAAGTACGAAAAAAAGAGAGAAATAATGAATAGATAAACGAAGAACTTACTAGATCTTCTATGTCTTCTATACCAACAGACAATCGAACAAGATTGTCTGTTACACCCAGCGCTATCCGCACTTCTTCTGATATTGATGCGTGTGTCATGCGCGCAGGATGTTCTGCCAAACTTTCAACACCACCCTTTAAGATAGAACAACAATAAAATGAATATGCTATAATAATTTATCCAATATACAGTATAAATTAAAAAAAACCTCACCAATGACTCGGCCAGAGTGAACAACTTTAAGCTCTGCAAGAACTTATTTGCACTATCAAATCCACCTTTTATCCGAAAACTAACCATCCCACCAAACCCTTTTGCCTGTTTCTTCGCTAAATTATGTTGCGGATGACTTTCCAACCCAGGATATATTACGCTTTCGACCTTATACGACTTCTCCAAGAACCGCGCGACCGCCATCGCGTTCTCTTGATGTTGTCGCATTCGTACGTGTAGTGTTTTCAAACCACGATTCGCGAGCCATGAGTCGAATGCAGAAGGGACGGCACCCATTGAATTTTGATGAAATCGTAATTTTTCATTGATTTCGGGGTCATTTGTTACCGCGACACCCATTACTACATCCGAGTGACCGTTTATATATTTGGTGACAGAATGGACAACTATGTCGGCACCTAGTTCTAGTGGATTTTGAAAGTATGGACTCATGAAGGTGTTGTCGACTACAAGAATTGCGCCGTGAAGATGAGTGAGCCGCGCTATTGCTCGGATATCAACTAGTCGAAGAGTCGGATTTGTTGGTGTTTCAACCCATACGATCTTTATTATTATTAGTGTTATTATTAGCATTTCATTTAACTAAAGAATCAAATGATTCAATATAATTCATTAATAATAAACATACCTTTGTATTGGTTCTGAATGCAGATTTGATATTATTAGGATCAATTAAATCCACAAATGTTGTTTCAATTCCTTGGTTGACTGCGACTTTAGTGAAATATCGATACGTGCCACCGTACACGTCGTTTACAGATACAATATGTCCACCGAAACCAAGAGAACTAACTAAAGTTGCGGTAACTGCGGATCCTGAGGAGAAGGCGAGACCGTATTTTCCTTTTTCCAAAGCAGCAACTGCCTCCTCGAATGATTGACGTGTCGGATTACCGGATCGAGAATATTCAAAACCCTGTTCAGGTTAAGTCATAAATAAATGGTTGATAATTTCATTTCATCATGAATTCATTTTGAATCCATTATTAATCAATCAATGATTGATTGATAATGAAACTATCCCGTGAAAAATTACCAACCTTGTGCATCCCAATAGAAGACTGTTGGAAAGTCGTCGAAAGTGAAATTGGAGGAATAACAGCTCCGGTATGCGGGTCAGGTTGTTGACCGGCATGAATTGCTCTCGTCCCAAAACCATACTTTCGAATCTGCTCGTGGTTGTGTTCTTCTATTTGATGAAATCCATTAGGAAGGGATTCGTTGGTAGCATCTTCAGCCGGAGCAGAATCAGTAATGTTGGGTGTCATTTTTAAATATTTGGGATTTGTGTGTATGGTAGAAGTTGAATTAAGGTTTTTTATATGATTCCGTCGGTTTATTTCTCTTATTCTGGTTGAGTAATTTGAGTAATTATAGTAGAAATAATAAATTGATTTTTTAGCGGTGTAATAAAAAAAAATTTATATATTTGTCACGATAAGAAAAAATACCAACTCTTTAAAAAATTGAATAAAGAGTTGCTGCTGTTTCTGTTTTAATAGTTTTCGAAAAAACTTTTGCTGAAGTGAAGATATGAAATCAACTGCCATATTTATAGTTTTTGTTTGAGAGCAACAATATCGCGAAATTTCCGTATAATGACAAATCCAACGTGCACGCGTATCTATAAAATTTTTGATTTTACATTTTACCACTTGATTGCGTGCTCAACATCATTTTCGATTCGTCGGAAAATTTGATTCGTTAATAATTACTCCGTTTTATAGTAGATTCGCACATGTGCACATTCGATTTTGTAAGCAACAGAATTTGAATGACGAAAAAATTTTTACGCATTAACGTTATAAATTTTTCCATTGTTTAACAATGAAACTTGGAGTCGCATGACCACATTTATTACATTTATTGCTTGTTAGTGATGATTTACACATGCATGAATTCACTTTTCAACTATGATTATGTTTGACTATGAAATCATTTTTATACTACTAAAAATAAATATAAGTCTCATCAAGCCTCTTTCTTAGATGCTGACCAGCTGTGATAATATTACTACTATCATTTTCACCAATTTTATTACCATCATTAATTGCCAACAAATTACTAGGAATTGGAATCACCGGTTCGTCATCAACCGCATGACAAAAATATGCGATTGAATAACGATCAAATTTACAAGTATCCGAACGAAACACGACACGATGTTTAGTGGATTTGAGTAATCCTTTAGTCCAAAATTCCAAGAGGTCTCCGAGATTTATTAGAATACATCCGGGGATGATTGGTGCTGGTATCCATTGTGTTGTTGTTGTTGTTGTATTGTTGTTCATTTTTGTAGTTGGTGCTTGTACTTCTAGGCCGCTGATTTCTTTTTGAAATAGAATTGTGAGTGATCCGTAATCTGAATGACTAGGAATTTTTTAGTGTTATTATTTTATTATAATGATTGAATCAGTTTGTATTATAAGTATGGGAATGTACCTTCCAGCGCGGATCATTCTTTCTACATCAAAAGATTCCACGGGCGGATAATGAAGTATTCGGAGTGTATCACCCGATTTCCGATCATATGAATGTCGCGATGCAAACCAGTTCCTGCCTCCTTCTGTTTCAGAAATTTCTAACGCGATGGCAAATGCTTGTAATATTTTTAAGCATAGTTTGTGACATGCCTATAAACAAATTCTACTTTTAGTCTAAATTCGTTCATTGATTGATTGATTGATTGATTGGTTAAGGCAATTTGTTTGATTGATTGGTTAAGGCAATTTGTTTGATTGATTGATTGATTGGTTAAGGAAATTTAAAAACTCGTTTTTCATCTTTAATCAATGATAGTCGGGTAACAGATGCAAGTGATTGAGTGAATTATTCGCTTGCCTGTTCGAACGATGTCAGTAATTCCAAATTTTCTTGAAGCATTGGTGGTAATATTTGTGACACTTTGCCATTTATTATTTTACCGATATTGAAAGCTCTGAATGAAATAATTGCCTGAAACAGTAAATAAACAAACAATTAAATAGTAAATAGAAAATTATCTAATAAAAAAATAGTCACTCTTTAAAATCACCGATCTTTTGATTCTTAGGATCAAGTATTTCCTGATGCATCCGCGAATACCCTTGATTCTCTTCATTTATTTTGTGCAAGAGTTTCTCATTGATCGGAAGACTGAAATATTTTTGTGACTTAATTTTATCAAAAAATAAATAAATAATTGTGATTGACAACCGTGTAATAATCGAATCCGACTTGTCAAAATGATTAATTACTCACAAGACTAAACATTTCATTTATCAACGTATCAGAAATACCATGGTTCCGCAAATAAAAGAATCCGACGGACTCGCTTGCACTTTTTATTTCTCGCGCACACGTCGATTTGTCGTTTTCAAATAATGAAAAATCGATAACTGGAATTTCTTGCATTTTCTAAAGCCCAGGTTGTAATGAATGACTAAATGAGAAGCGTGTACACTTATCCGAAATTGGAAAATTTAATTTCGCGTGGGTGACGTCATCATTTATTTAAAGAAACAATGAGATGACAAAACTCAACACTTACACTTTCAAAGATACACATGCAACCAATGGACTATGCAAAGATCGTTATAGCGATCTCATGTGCGCTTAGCTCGTGGACTAAAGGTATGTGTGTGTTTGGCAATCAAAGTTATCATTCTCTCGGTTTTCCGCATTTGAAGGTGTTTCCGTTCTTATTAATTATGTATACATAACATGTCTCGATTGATTCTTGCTTTGCAACGCGAGTATAGCATATTTGGTAATGCATAATGCCAAAGGAGGCGCTCCATTACTTTTTCGAAAACGTTTGGCGGATGACGAGAAAAAGTTTATAGCGTTTACTCATATGATGGTGAGTCAGTCTATATAGTTTACTATGTATGCGTATCAATAAGAGAATCCGTACCGGTACGTTTTGGCAATAGAATTTATGGTTTTGAAATTCAATGAAACGTGAAAAAGCTGTTGTTGACTGGAAGCGTCTAGGGAAATTAATTTAAGAGTTCAAATAGGAGGACCTCAATAACGAATAATTTTTATTTTTTTGTTTATTCAAGATTGTATACGTTCTTTTACGATGGTTAAATGCAAAGGTTTGAATGATTGATTTTTTTCCGGAGTTGATGATCTTCTTTCACCTGTCAATTACTCATCTAATCATATTTATTATAGCGACTACCTTCACCACAAACAACAAGACTTCCGTCGTTATTTAAATTTATTCCCAATCTGTTTTCGCTTTATTTCCCTGCGTTGGTAGTAGAAGAATTTTTACACTTTTTCCTGCTACGATATTTTGTCCATATCCGTAACATGAACAGCTTCACCATTCGAGGCAGACCACCACCACCCGAATCAAAAGACGACGATTGTTGTGTATGCATGGGGGTTGGCATAGGCACACACACCACAACATTCTTTACAGACATTGAAGAAGATGAATTCGCCGATGAGAGCTGTCTCGGCGCACTAGAGAATTATTGTAATATACCGCATCATGTAGCACATAGACCTTGTATGTTTCGTTGGTTTACAACGGGATTGGCGCGTGTCTCTGGCCCAATACTAGATTTCAATCAACAACTGAATCAAATGCGACCGGCCCCCGTGTGTCCTAAATGTCGTGGCAGCTTGGCCGTGGAAATTATCACCAAGGATTCTTTGGTGGATGATGATAATTGGAGAAATAGAACCACTTGGAATTCAAGGATTAATTCTTTAATCAGAGATTGGAGGAAGGTGATGAATTGGCGTTGGATATTTGCTAGAAGTGAATTGACAATCGCGTATATATTGATTGTGTGGAGAATATTAAAATGGAGAGAAAAAGCACAAGACAAATTATTAAGACGATAATGTCATTTTATATTTAAAAATCCAATGAAATTTAGATTGCCAGCCAATCGAATTTGTTAAATCAACGTACAACATATTTATTGAGATCTTGATAATTATTAACATTTCTTCAATTCCATAATATTTATGAAATAGGCTTTCATCAAAATTCTCACTGAATACAATATATTAGAATCCGTAATCCGATCAAAGCAAACAGAGGTAATTTCCATGTTCTCTGATTCTGACACAACTTGACCCGTTAAAAGGCATTTCATTTCATCGTATAGTCTAGAGATGAATATTGCGTGCCTATGGATTTAGTGTTACTATTTTTAAGCTATTTCTGATCTTATTTGTAAAATTCAAATTTTTTAGTTGATTAATAATATTAAGCAATTCAAATAATAAATAATATTAATTTTGTTATTTCATCTTGAATGTATTCATTTTAATTACAAACCTTATTTTTAAAAGAATATAATTCAATAATAGAAATTTCTTTTAACAAATTATATAATAAATATTGGATAATAAAATATTATTTTTGACATTTGTTTTAAAAATGAAGTTTTAGTTATTATTAAAAAGATCATATTTTAATTTTGAGATACTTCTTTATTAATAAAAATTCAATAATTTAAAATATAATTTTAATTATATATAACTATTTAAAATATTTTTTTAGTTTAAAAAATTTAAACAAATTGGATTATTTTTATAAAATAAAGTATTTTAATAAAATTAATTAAGAATAAAGTAATAATAATGAATATTTTCACCTATATTTTAATAAGTATTTAAAAAATATAAATAAATTTTTTAGAATATTTCTGAATAAGATTTACTAATAGTACAAGATATATTAATAAAATTTTGTGAAATTTTGTGTCAAATATAATGAATTAGATATCTACATGAAATAATTTTGAATAAAAAATTATTTAAAAATATTTTTAATAAGTAATTTTGAAATATTTTTGAAAAATATATTTTAAAATATAATAAATATATTTATAAATTTAAAAAAATTTTTTATTATATATTTATTTAATAAATACCAGTTAAAAAAAGAGTTTATTTTAATAATTTTTATAAAAAATAATAATAAAATATAGTTAAAATAGAATTTTTATTATAATTTCTTATGAAAATTATTAAAATAAAGCTTTTTAATTGATATTTATTATAATAAAAATTTTTATAAACTTATAAATATATATTTAATATCTTAAATATTTATAAAATTACTTATTAAAAATATTTTTAAATAATATTTTTTAAAGTTATTTCATATAAATACTTAATTTATTATATTTAATATAAAATTTTACAAAATTAGTAAATTTTATATTATTAATAATTCTTATTTAAAATATTTTAAAGAATTTATTTACAAAATTTTTTATTTTTTAAATAATATATTATTAAAATATAAATAAAAATATTTATTATTATTATTTTTATTCTTGATTATATTTTTAAATAATATATAATAACTTGAAATAGAATATTAAATTATTTAATAAAATATAATAAAAATTAAAATTTATAATTTATTTTTATTTTTATTTTTATATTAAAAATAAAAATTTATTAATTTTATATCTCTTGTATTATTATTTATTTTTAATTATATAATAATTAAAAATTAAAATTTTAATTAAAATAAGTAAAAATTATAATTATTAATAATAAAATCTCATAAAAAATTTTTTATTTTTTTTATTTTTATATTATATAAATCTTATAATTTGATTAATTAAGTTATATATATTTAAGATATAATTAAATCTTATTATATTTAAATATAAATATAAAGAAATATAATAAAAAATAATATAAAATATTTAATATATATATATAGTAATAATCAAAAGTAATGACTTAGGAACTAAATTTATTAATAAAATATAGTAAAAATTGAAATTTTTTCTCTATATTAAATTTTATAATTTTATTAAGAAATAATTTTTATTTTTATATTAAAATAAAGTTTATTAATTATAGTTTAATATATATTTT